CACAATCACTCAGCCTGGATACTTTATGCTGAAACAGGTAAATACTGTTTAGAAATCAAACTGAATGATACAATTAGAAAAACACATTAATATGAAGTAAGAGAGGCTGAAGGTTTGTTTGCTTGTTTTCTTCTTTTTTCAAATTTTAGATGGACAAATGGAATATATTGTTAGTAGCAACTCCAGAGTGTGTTAACATCAAAACTAAGACATAAAATGTTAACTACATCTATTAGTTAGAGCAGATTAAGTTACAATCTTAATCTGTAAATTACAACTGAAAAACTTGAGCACTCAGCCAGTATTTCAGATGAGGCAACACAGAAATTAGAGTGTGGTGTATATTTCGAAACAGTTATATATAGATATAAAAAAAAAATCTTTAATTATTTTTAAAAAGAAAAATCTTATTGTAAAAATACTAATGTGATTTAGATACGTACTAACTACAGCATGTAGGAACTGATTTTAACAGCTTATTACTTTATTCCAAAATACCATGCTTAGCATTATACCACAGAAGTATTATGAATCACTGGTTTTAAAAGTAAATTAAATAGGACTGAGTTTGGAAAAGAAAACGGAATGTTTGCATATTGTGAGAGACTGATTCCTTTAGATGTCAAAAATAAATTATTTTAATGCCACCAGGAAATCTTCCTCACTTTTTTTTTTTTTTCTTTCTTTTGAGGAGAGGATTGGTAGCAGACAGGCTAGGAATAATGCTAAAATTGGCAGAAAAATACACACACGAGGCTCGAGGTCCTCATACGAGTTCGTTATCATACCTGATTTTCATACTATGGCTAGCCATTTTTTCTGACTAATTCTGCTTCCATTCCTGAGCATATCTAAAGGTGACGAGGACTGTGGAAACAAATTACAGCCTAAGGGTCAATGCAGAGGGCTTATGGCTTCTGAAATCCACTTGAAGGAAAGGCTAAACTCAAAAACTTCAGAGTCAAAAAAAGAAGCTACTATTTGCAGTAAATACTGTTTTTGACAATTAAATCATGCAAGTCTTAAGTTTCAGGAATGAGGAACATAAATTTTAAATCTGCAAAATGAATTTTTTCACCAATGGATATTATATATGTAGTAGGTTATTTTCTAAGTAATCAGAAAGACAACCACAGCTGTTCTGACAATTAGAGCAACAAGTTCTTGTTTTTCTTCAAGAGCCCATTTCAACACAAAATGTTGCTGAGAACAAAGAGAGATATTGTAGAAAAGGACAGTAATAAAGGAGGAAAAAGACAATGGAAAAACTGAATCAAAGAAATACAGAGGAATAAACTCAGAGGAAGACTGAAAAAAGAGATAACATCTAGACCAAACTTTATGGAGAAAAGGAACTGGAAGAGAAAGAAGTAGAACAGGAAAACTGGGGAAAGAGAAAATCAATCAGGGAAAACAGAGAAGCTAAATTCAAAAGTGTTTGCCTTCAGAGGGCTTGTCATTCTATGTACATACACCACAAAATATTAATAAAGCACAGGATGTGTGAGACACCAGGTTTCTCTGAGATTTCATGTAAACCGGTGTTGATCAACTGTCTTCTATGGGCATGAAGCCTAGACACTGACACTCAGCAGCTACATACCTGTATTTTAGGGTGACTAAATTAGGCATCAGTGCTTCTTAGAGAAGATATTTTATTCTTATATGATAGTGATAGGTACTTCTGAACACTTGGTGTCTTAATGTACCTATTTTATTGATCGCATCTTGAATCTTGAAGAGCAATTCAGTACTCCTGCAAACTAAGCAAGCAGTGCAAAGTGACCAAACATCAATACGGAGGACACACTAAGCACAGGAGATCATCTTAAAAATTACTGACTCAAGGTTTCAGAGGACATTAGGTCTTCCTCTGAGACTTGTACAGAAGAACTTAGTGATTAAAGCTGAGAAGACAACAACTGGTATGTCTTGGAGACTTGTCTTAGGGAATCTGAATGCACACTTGCTGTTTCCCAGATGAGTATATTAACTACTGGGCAGGAGATAAGACTCTGTGGAGTAATTTTTTTTCACTTCTGTTGAAGTGAAATCCACTAAGTAGAAAGTTATTTATGGCAGTAAGATTTATGGCAGCAGACACAAAAAGAGTTAAGAAGACAAGAAGAACTTAAATTTTGCAGCCCTGCTTTAGAAAACCTAAATAAAGTGCATAAATTTTAGCGAGCATGTACATGAGTGGTCACAACTGGTGAACTTTACACTGAACTGAACACAGCAGTGCATAAAGTATGGCATACAGACACTTAGGTATTTGTTTAGATAATCCCAATGTGGCTCAGGCAGACAACTGCCTTCCCCAACTAGGAACTGCTCCTGAATAAAAGCCTCCCTTCAGACTTCCTGAGCTCTTCTTGAAGATAGGGACAAAAAGGAATTTCCCACTACTGAATTCAAACACATGATACTACATGGCCCTGTACAGTATGTCATCTGAATATCTGAGTATCAGATACCCCGATCAGGAAACAGGCAGCCTGATATTATGTCTGGCTGAAAAGATGTGCCACTGCTTTGGCCTTCTGCTTCACTGATTTGCTGAAAATTAAATCAAGGTAATGACAATGTCATAAAATACTACTGGTTTTAGTGTTTGAGTCTACAGTAATAATTAATTAATCAATGTAATTTCAGCATAGCTGTTTTTCAGAATTTTGAGGTGCTCCTCACTCCCCCCCCCCCAGCAAGTGGACTGGGGTTGCACAATTTGTTGAGAGGGAAAATAGCTGGGGCAGCTGACCCCAACTGACCAAGGGATATCCCAGACCATATGGGGTCATGCTCAGCATACAAAGCTAGGACAGAAGAATGAAGGGGGGGGGCACATTCAGAGTGATGGTATTTGTTTCCCCAAGTAACTGTTACCCATGATGAAGCCTTGCTTTCCTGGAGATGGCTGAACACCTGCCTGAGCTTGGAAATGGTGAATGAATGCTTTGCTTGCATGCATGACTTTTGCTTTACTTATTTTACTGTCTGTCAATCCATGAGTTTTCTTACTTTCACTCTTCTGATTCTCTCCCCCATCATGCCAAGGTGGAGTGAACAAGCAGCCACATGGTTCTTAGTTGCTGGCTGGGGTTAAACCATGACAGCTAAAAGCATCATTTTCCCACTTAATAAGTCTGTGTACAGACAGTGTTTCAGGAAATTGAAAAAGTATTAATGCCCACAGAAATTATGTGCATGCTCCCACACTGTGAGAGCTTCTGCAAATCTAAGTGATGCAGACAGAAGAGCATCCCACACAATTCTGCCTTTTTTTTTTTTCTTAAATCATCTACAATTATAGAATAACATCTTTAGAAAGATAGAGATTCATTCATTTCTACAGGATAATTATGTTCTTATATTCAGGTCAATCAGAATGATACCACTTATAAGAGAGCAAATTAAAATGAGAAATTGTCATCAAAAGGAAATAACGAAAAAAGTAACTTTAGAGAGGGTTTGACAAAAAAACACCAAACCACATTTTAATGAATGACCAACAAATAAAGTAGTTATCAAAAGCTAGTGACACAGTCACTATACTTCAATTCTTTTCTTATTTAGCTCCCCAAATGCAGTTCTCCTAATACCTGCATAAACACTTGCACCAACACCAAGAAGGTGTGAATGAATCAATGAGTAACAGCAGGATGGTGGGAAAGACAGTTGTTAATGTTGTAAATATTGAATGTAGGCGAAAAACATACACAATGCCCTTTCAGAGTATAATAAATTCTTCCTTAAGATATACCTCCTTCCTAACTGAAAGGAAACAACACCTGTAATTGAAAGTTCCTGAACCTTAGCTCACTCAGATCTTAAAACTCCCAGGCATATGCAAAGTGAAAAAGAACTCCCAGCAGGAGATGCCTACTGTGCCGGGATGGTTGTGTAAGGCATAGCCATCAGTGTTAAATCTTTGGACTACAACAGCAGTAGACTTAACCAGATAGTTTCAATCAGAAACAAACACATGATCCAGTGAAAATTTTTGAAAGTAGTACCTATAGTTCTTCACTGGTTAAGTTGGAAGGCATAGATTGTCTCAGACTATGCTTTTAGTACTTTGCCTTATTTTAAGCAACGCAAATAAAAAAAAATATGGAAAAAACGGCCTGACTTGTACTAATATCTTTCTTGTACATCCCTGTTGTCTCTTAATAAACAGACCAGACCTATTTAGCTGTTCAAAAATTCAACTCACTGATAATTTGGAACAGTCAGCTACCTTGCAGCACAACCCCCCTTTGGGAGAGCAGTACAGAAGTAGGAGAAAAGAGATCAGGAGGCTTACCATATTGGAAAAACAAGTACTGCTTCAAAATTAGTAGCTGCAACTAGTCCTTTAAGATAGACTGGCCTTCACTGTCTTCCTTAAGCCAAGTACACACAACTACCAGAGAACTTTGAACCTCAAAAGGCAGGGGTTTATACAGCATAGACTAGAACAAGGCAACTGCTGAGGGAGGGTGAAAACTCAAATCAGCTGGGAAAAACATGAAAGGTTTTCAAAACAAAGGCTACTTTCTCCAGCTGTGTCCCTTTGAGACAAATCCATACTTTTAAACCAACAACTGTCAAAGGCTTTCAACAAACACTACCTTTCCTGCTTCCAAGTCTCCACAGGAAAATCTCCTTCTACATCAACCTCAAAGGCTTGGGTTTGGATCTATCCTTTGCTCTTCTCACCAGCTGCCAAGCCTGTACTCATTAAGACTACCTGCTTGGTATATATACACTGGAATTCCCAAAAAGGATCTGAACTGAGTATATTCAGTTGTGCTGTGAAAACCTCAGACCCTCTCCCTCCACAAAAGGATTCAGGATTCAATCTGACATCAAACAACACAGCACCCAAGTCAAAGCAAACAGGCAGCCATTTAAAAGAATTCTGAAACACCCCTACATAATAGACACATCAACCTCAAGCCCTGTAACAGCCATCTGTTACAAGTCTCACTGCAATAATGAAACATTCGTTTTCCTACCTGTGACTGTGGAGCAGTGCATTAAATGCCAATCCATCAGACCAGCTACTGGTGAAATTGATAACATTGACCTGTGGGTAATTACGAGTCGATTGGCGGACCCAGCTCAGCAGAATCTTTTCACTGTTTGTCTGCTGCAGTCCAGCCATGATGTTTTTCATTACATCTTTGACCTGCAATAAGAAGCAGAATGTCATCAGTGATTGAACTTACTCATTAGAAACTGCCTTTGTGTTGTGTTTTTTTTTCTTGCACAAAATCCCTTGAGTTGCTTAGATTTAAGCCTTAAAGAAAAACTTCCTTAATAATTAAAGTACATACTTGGTGTCATAGTATAACAATAGCAGCTAAGTCTGAATGATTACAGACAACGGATATTGACTTGTTGGTCACCATTGCTGATGCATTCAGTACATTTATCCCTGTGCCACACGAAGCATTCCATGCATGAACAGAGATGGCACATTTGTTTCCATCACTTATGGACACAGGGCTCATTCCAACTAAGTCTTTTTCCTTTTGGTTTTCTTTGCTCTGGAAATACATCCTTGGTTAATGGGATACACTACTGCAAAAGCTGGTAAAATGATGAAAAACATTCTTCTCTCACTGACAGAGTTGAAATAAGTACCAAGGCAAAAATAAACGTGCATGGTAGATAACATTTTTGACTTAAATGTGCAAACTATATTTCCATACATGCACTTGGATGAAAAGTGAATTTCATTGCATGCATTGAAAGGGTACTGCATATGATTAAATTTTAATTTTTTTTAATGAATAGTTAATGTTCCTTTTTCATTAAGGAAAGCTGAGCTAGTTATTATTTTACAAAAAGCCATTAATCCTGAGGGCTTCTAAAAATATTACCCTAACATTGGACATAACACAGTGGAATATATATTTCTTAGCAATTTCTTTACTACTGAAAGAGCACACAAAATTTCTATTAAGAATTCTATAATTTATTTTCCAATTTTAAATCACTGCTTTCTCCACATATACTGTAAAGATTTAAACGTCTTTAAAATACTAAGATACAATTTAAACTTATTTAAGCTTATTGTTGCTTATTTCCTCATGGAGTATATAATTTCACTACTACGCCACTTGAATTGCTCTGCATATGATATGAGCTGAAGAACAACATTCAGTGCAGAAGCTACTTTGTGATAAAAGATGGACCACTCTGTGTCCTAGTTGTTGAAAGTCAAAGATGAATTGTGGGAATGATGAAGATCAAAGAAAGGTAGGCATTTAAAATACTGAAGTAAAAAGGTATCACAGTATCACAGTATGCTAGAGATTGGAAGGGACCTCAAAAGATCATCCAGTCCAATCCCCCTGCCGGAGCAGGAACACCTAGATAATGTTACACAGGAATGTGTCCAGGTGGGTTTTGAATGTCTCCAGGGAAGGAGACTCCACAACCTCCCTGGGCAGCCTGTTCCACTGTTCCGTCACCCTCACTGAGAAGAAGTTTCTTCTCAAGTTTAAGTGGAACCTCTTGCGTTCCAGTTTGTACCCATTACCCCTTGTCCTATCATTGTTTACCACTGAGTAGAGCCTGGCTCCATCCTCGTGACACTCCCCCTTTATATATTTATATACACTAATAAGGTCACCCCTCAGTCTCCTCTTCTCTAAACTATAGAGACCCAGCTCCCTCAGTCTTTCCTCATAAGGGAGATGCTCCACTCCCTTAATCATCTTCGTTGCCCTGCGCTGGACTCTCTCCAGCAGCTCCCTGTCCTTCTTGAACTGAGGGGCCCAGAACTGGACACAATATTCCAGATGCGGCCTCACCAGGGCAGAGTAGAGGGGGAGGAGGACCTCTCTCGATCTACTAACCACCCCCCTTCTAATACACTCCAGGATGCCATTGGCCTTCTTGGCCACAAGGGCACAGTGTTGGCTCATGGTCATCCAGGTATGATCTCATCCTCAACGTTGGGGTCACTTCCTATTCAATGAGAAATGGTGGAAAACTCTACTTCTACAATTAAAGTCACCTTGTCCTCCTGGGCACCCAGAGAGAGAATGCCGACCCTCCCATCTGGTACCTTGGTGGCACCACAGAGCACAGTGCTACACTATGCCACACTGCTGCAGGCAAAGCACCATGCTGCCTGCAGGATGGCTGGGTCCTGAAGAAAGATCAGTGTCTGAGCAGGGAAGTGCTGGCTGACACTGAGGATAGAAGGAAGCTCTTTGAAGGCTTCTCATTTACGATGAACAGTAGTAGGAAGACACATGCTCATGTCAGCTTGAAGAGCTTTTGGATGAATAAGCTCCCTCAGCATCCAGGTTAAGAAACTACACATCACGTCCAGTAAAATCTGCTTCTTGCAAATGAGTTGCAGATGACCTCTGATAGTAATTTGTTTGTTACTGCTCCACTCTAATGTAGTATTTCCTGGCAGGAAAAAAGGCTTTAAGGTATAGAAAAGTCTGACTTCCACAAAATAGAAATACTTGCTTTTCCTGGGGAATGGACCAATACTACGGCAGTAAAAAAAGACTCAATTTTGAACAGAATGGGAGAAAAGGGCAACACAGAAACCACCAAGACGACTTCCAAAATGTCAAATGGAAAGCTGTGATCAGAAGAGTTGTTCTCAGCACCGCACTGAAATATTTGCCTTATGTAAATGACTATGATTTTGCCTTTTTTTTTTTTTTTTTCCTGAAGAAAGTCAGTATTTCGGCTATGACTTACTTAGCAGCTTTTCTCTGTTGCTTTCACTACAACATGTCCTGTAAAACTAGAAAAAAAAAAAAAAGAAAAAGTTTCCTACTTCAGTGAATGATGAACATGATTTTTTAATAGAAGTGTTTAGTTTTTAATATAAGGGCTTCTAGGTTTTGTTTCTCACCATTTTTGCTTGTAATGCTATGAAAAACTTGTAGATTATTGCTTGGGAAACAGAGCCAGCACAAATGGACAGACTCTTAAGCCCAGATTCATATAAAAACACACTCAGAGCATCTGTATGCTAGTTCTTTTCTTAATTTTGATTTTACTGCTGTGTCAGAATTTATTTACTTAAGTGTCTTCATCTACCACGTTTCTTATAAGATCTGTACCATAAGCTTCCCCCACTTTCTAAAGAGAAAGGAAGGTAAATAAACCACATCTGCTTCAATAAATTGTCAGAGTCACATCTTTTTAGTGTTCTAAAAATAATTCTTGGAAGGATGGGCCAGCAATGAAAAGCAAAAAAAGTAATTATTATTTTGTTAAAATATAAAAGTCACTCTCTTTAAGATATTAAAAACAAAACTGACTATGAAAGCTATACATTCATGTTGGCTTTTCCTATCCATTTTTCTAACAATAATTTTATTATATATTCTCTTGCAACATCTGACTGGGAAAAAAAGAATCAAAAGGCCTGCTCCTAATGCTCTAACAACTATTTTATCTTCTTAAGTTTCTTAATATTCTAGACAAAATGTAAACAGACTTCCATAAAACTTGCAGATTGAGGACATTATTTGCAATGCTTATGTTTACTTTGTAGGTTGTGCCTATATAATAACGGGAAATAAGATCAGTGGAATAAAGGTACTTCATGAAAAGTAAGAAGCAGTACCACTCACCTGCCAGTGGAGAATTATATTCCAGATCAAACCAAGGGTCAGCTTATGATTTCCATCCACAATGTCTGAGCTCCCAATATTTACCAAATCAACCTATTAAAGAAGCAAAAATATATTCGTATAAGATTAATAGCAAGTCTATGAGGTTGGTGTCATACTTTCTTTATGGCAAGGGAGATGGAGGGATGGGCCAGAGTAAATCTCTCATCTGGTTTCTGTTATTTAGTAAACATTAAATTAATGTTTCATAAATGACACAATTAATGGCCTAGCAAAAAGCATGCAGTGATCTAGACTTCCAATTACAGCAGTTATAGCATGTTGTGAAAACATACAATTAAAAGTAATAGTTAACATAAAAGATTTTTTGAGTTATTGTCTCTACAATTACAAATCACAAAACTGATGAGTGACACAAAAAACGTCTATTATGCTTCCTACTACCTTACATAATGCACTTTGCTGAAAGCTACACACACACATCTAGACACTGTAAGAACCTACAGACCTAAGATATCTTTCTACATATTTAAATTCTAACAGAATTTATTTTGTCTTAATTAAATTCTACAACGTATAAGGCAAGTCAGGATGTGTTCTGGAATACAGAGGAACAAATGATTGTGATCTAAGCAAATCTTTTCCACATTAGTTTGTTTAGTATTGTTGTTTTCCACAACTATAGTATGCATCAGCATTTACCACCCTGAAATATTCTTTCCTCCACAGTGAAATGATCCTTTACACTCCCTCACTTTTCATGTTATGTAAATAAAGAAAGCCAAATTCACAGATGTGATTATAAGATGATACAAGCTGAGACCTGCACTTTTGGATGGAAACTATGAATCTAAAAATTTGCATCCTCACTGTTTCATAGATGTGTTTTTTTTCATGGTCAGAACTAATATTTATATGGCAAAGTACCCCATTCCTTCATAAATTACAGTCTGCATATCTCTACTTCTGAAGCTATTCGAAGTTACATCTGTAGAATGACTAAAGGTTTTGCATATTCAAAACAAGCCTCAACTCTTTACTAAGAATTCATAATTTTGTACTAAAAGCGTAAGAGACTGGTAATTCATTGTAACCAACAGTGTCTTGGAACATTTCCCAAGTGGAACTTAGAAATTATATCCTAAATTTCAAATAGGGTCCACACAGCAAGTGACCAACTACAAAGCTTATTGGGCTATCACCTACACGTTCTACGGGCCAAATCCTTCCTCTGTTTTTGGAAACGGAAGCCTGAACACATGGAAATTACATATATCTTACTGAAACAGAGGAAAACTTCTCAGTTTGCCTTAGTGTTGCTTGAGGCTACAGTGGGGTACCTCCCCACCCCAAAACTGTATAAAAAAAAAAAGAAAAAAAATCTGTAAAATGGATTGACTGGAAGCAGCAGCATTTTCAAAGCTGTTACCGCCTAGATGACTGCAGACCCTCAGAGCAAAGATGGCACACACCAGAAGAAAAACTTGATTAGTCACAGTCTTTAATAGCTTTAGAACCATTAATTTTACATTCCTGAAGTCCCATAGAAATCCCTCTTGAAATGATCTTGAAGGTTGAGGACACAGAGGCAGATCTTTGGGCTGCACACTAATTTGGTATAGTATATATATGCACACTATACTAATTTTTATGTTGTGTATAGCTTATAAAGTTTTCATTACATGAATATAATGGCCAATGGATGAGCATTTCAAGTTCTAAAAGGATGTTTTTTCTTCTATATTCTTCAAATTGAATATTCTTTTTTCTTTCTGTATTTGAAAGAGATTATTGCTGTGTTCTGGGAACTGAATGAAAAGCACATTAATGGATTTAGCTGGTACATAGTCAATAAATACTTTTAAAAGCATTTACTATGAAAATCTGTAACCACATTCCAGGTATGCTATCAAAACCTTCTTGTATACTGCAAAATAGCGTATCATAGATTTTTTTCAACGGTGCCAAATATTGCAGATTTTGAAGAATTGGAAGCTGTTTCTTCTACAAATTTACATGAAATTCCATTTAAAAAAAAAAGAAAAATCAAGCTGGAGGTCTTTATGCCAGCCTTATAAGGTCACTTTCATTTATGCACAAATCTTCAGCTAGATTACCTTATATTTATAAAATCAATAACTTTATTCAGCAGCTGAACTCAAGCATGTTTAGTGACCTACTGCATCTATTGAAAATATAATATGCAGCACAGAATACATTACCATTACATCTTAATGTTAAGTTTAAGTGAATGTAATAGTTTATTTTAATTTATTCTTGAGGAGAAGACATGATATAACTTGTTGGCCACTGAGAATAACTGCTAAAGTTATGGGTCCATTAGAATGCTTACGTAAGGAAAATATGAGAATATTTACTCAAAAATGATGCACAGGATACCGGCTTGAAAAGTCAATCCTGACAAAGTAGACTGGAAAGTGGTTTTGATATGATTCATTTCCTTAATGTTATGAACCACAAGGAACAGACAGCAATGAAATTTTACCAAAAAGATTTCTTGCAGGAAAAGCCTCAGTTTTTCAGAATTCATAATTGTCAGAGCTTGTGAGTAGATGTTTTGATAGGTAACACCTTCTAAACTGCTACGGATGAACTCTTGTAATTAACCTTTAAAAATATATTTTAAACACCATGCATTACCAAAAAAGCGTGCATGTTGATCTGGCTTAAGGTAGCACCCGTTACAGATATATTGTTCACACACTTTCTGGCAAAAGATTTTAAACTCTGAAACACATTCCAACTTGGTGCTGAATGATAAAGTATCCAAGTCATATTAATAAAACTTCCTTGATTCCAGTAATTTTATACTATAGGCCAGAGTTTGATCCAACACTTACAAAATATTAAATATACTATCTATAGGATGTTCTGTCTGGCTGATTACTTACATTATATCTCTGCAAAACCTGGAGTGCTTTGTTGACATTGTTCAGAGCATGAACTCTTGTGGACCCCTTTTCTTTTGCCTACAAAAAAATTAAAACAAACTTGACTGCCCAAAATCAGAAACTAGAATACACTATATGTAACTCAAATATTATATTACACCTGCAGTTTTCCACTTAATAAGTTTATGACAACAGTGAGCACATTACCATACATTGCACATTTGTAGCTTCCCAATATGAAATAAAGGCAAGTGTGAAATGAACTGGATCCACAGTTGGAAGGTAATTTGGTACCTTGACAGTTGTCAGTGAATGCATCACTAAAATGTGTAGAAAATCAGATAATTCAAATTGTTTCTGTTATGATTAGTCATCTTCTCCATGGCAGAATTTAGGAACATTACCATGACAACCAAGCAACAACACATCAGCTTGTTTAGTATTTATTTACAAACATATTCTCTCAAGATTTTCAAACTCCCAGACTGTTTCATTACTCTTTTACGAGACAATTTCAGAGAAAGATCCCAGGCTCATATAGTCCAAGCAGGAGCACAAGAGAGGATATTCAAAAATATGTGTGGAGTATCCTTTAAAATTTCCAGGTTAATAAGAACAAGCTGTTTTTCACTTTTCAGACATGTACAACTTCAATACATGTTAAGCATGTGCAAAATTTGCTAGAGAAACATTCTAATTCTATACATTGAATTCTTTTCCTTGCATTTGGCACAAACTCCTACTGATAATTTCTGACTCCAGCTAAAATCTATGTCTTAACAAACCTTGCCTCTGTCTTGCTTCTCTTTGCCACACTTCCTTAATAAATACATACAACAACCTAGAACATTTTAATTCCAAATATATGCCTACTAAAGGCTTACTGTCCAATGCAGCTCTCAGTTTCAATGTTTTCTCAATTTCAAATGAAAGTAAAAGAAAAAAACAATCTAAAATATAGTTTTTACAGACTCTCATTAACAGTGGGAATTAACAAATACAACCTACTACAATTATCACACCAAAAGGACTTCAATATTCAGTAAACCTGTGAATATACACATACAAGTTTTTGGCCTGTAAAACATTCCAGGAGCTCCAGAAGTCTTCGTCCATCTCGAAAATCATTAAAAATATCTTCAATGTAACGTCTTCCAAACTGAAATGAAACAATGGCTTTAGTTAGTGCAAACATCAAAAAGAAAAGGAAGCATGTAATTGCCTTTGTAAATACACTTTGCTAATTACATAATAAATATGAAAAGTATGACACAAAGTAAAGGAGTAAAATATCTTACAACTGACTAGTAGGATTCTTTCAAATACATCCATTTTCAACAGGGTTCTGTTGCATAAGAGAGATTGGTGCCTACCTTATTTCAAGTACTTTTTTTATGGTAAGGAATGTACACCCCTTACTCCCTCTTAAAATTATACTATTGATACTGTTTGTGAGAAACTGCTGCAGATTCAAGAATTTGTAATTTATGCACATACCATTAATTCAAACAATTAAGCCAGAACTAAATACTAATAAAGCCAAAACACAAACTGGACTTGATAATTAAGGTGCAATTCAAAAGAAAAATGTGAAAAATATTTTGCAACCGTCACCCCCACCAACCCATAAAAAAAACCCAAAACAACAAAAAAAAACCCTAACACCCAGAAAGTGATATCAAGTTTAAGTACATAGTAGGCACTCTTTCATGAGGCAAAAATAAACCTGGAGTTAGAAAAAAATAAGCCTCAGGCATATTCTAGTGAGGATCCAAGAAGCATATATATGTTAATAAGTCATACTTGGAATTGTATTGGATCTAGGCCTCATTACAGTAAGTAGCTAAAACACAATTCACACTTTGTATGCAGCGTCAGCAAAAGGCAAAAGGAAATAGTTGGGGGTTTCCCCCAAATGTCAATGGTAAAAGCTGATTTACCCTTTCTAAAATACAAGTCAAATTTCTGATCTGATTAACGCATTAATTTTAAAAAATATAGAAATACAATTTTGTATAGTTTAGTCACTGCGCAAAATGTGCACCTATAAATTCTGACATATTTTTTTTATGTCTGAAAGCTATTGAGAGCCACAATAAAAAACAGGGATTATTTTGTGCAGTGTCAAGTAGATTCACATGTCCACATTATTTCTAATTTGTGAAGTTTCACAGATGCTTTGACTGATTTGAGAGGAAGCATCTGTATTTTAATTTGCTAGAATTGACATCATGCTGACCTACATTGCACATCATCCATTTTCACCACAGAGCAATGCAGAATTAGGAAATCATTACACAAAAAAACATTTGCTTTCCTGTCAGCAGCGTCGTTGTGGTACTCACTGCAACACTCATTAGAGGTAGCCGGAAATTTAATGAAAACTATATTTTTTGCAGAAAGTATCAATCCCTGCAGAAGATTTCTTAAATAGAGAAGAGATTCAAGCACAGTTTCCAGTGTTAGACTAATTTTTACCTCAATCAATAAATATTTATGCATACAGCACAAACTTTAGTGCTATTGGCTATTCTGGCATGACTCTTCATTTCTCTCTGACTGCTCATCTGAGGCAAGAGCTCTTTTCAGCCCCTTCATTTTTTGGTAGGTCTTGTTTCTGATTCATGGAACAAACAAATTAAAAACACCAAAAATATTCTAGGGCAGTGGGAATCCTTGTTTTCTAGACAGTTTTCACACCTTGCACAAACCATTCCAACTAAGCTGATTTCTAGTTAACATACATGCTGCCACTTGACTACCTAAAATATCTGAAAACAGTATTGGATAGATTCACATATGATTTACCCACCATGCTCAACCTCTTGAATTATCTGTTTAAATAATAATACTCAGCAAATCTATTTTCTGCTTGCATTTAGTATGAGAAATAGCTTTGACAATAGTTTTAAATAACGGCATGAACATGTGACAGTATGAAAGTCACATCATGCACAGTATTCCTGAAGTTGGCTATTACTTACTCTATATAGCACAAAATTAAAATCAAATATATGACTAAACCAGAGATACTTTATTTTGATACCTAATCTTTCAGAACAAAAGCTATTTTTTTCCAGAGAGACAGCACAAGACCTATGCACTTCCAAGGGAACATTTTAACATTCTTTAAAAAGTGGAATTGATCAATAGACCCTTCTCTGACACTATGAACGAGCTGTGCCCATAATATTACTGAATCTCTCTGGGAATAGGAGTACAATGACATTTTGATAATAGACTATAATTACTTTGTATCATAAGGGAAAAATAGAACTAAGCCTTCATAACTGCCTGTGTGTCTGCCTTTCTTCCTTTTTGCAGGATTTAAGCTATTCATAAAGTTTAGGTTGAAATACATCTAGGACAGTCAAAAATTCTCCTTTTCAATTTTTTTTTGTTTGTTTGTATTGTGGGTTTTTTTTGTTTTTTTTTTGTTTGTTTGGTGTTTTCAAGATTTCAGAAAGAAAATAAAGACACAGCATGGTAGCATCCCCAGCAGGACATATTAATTACAGATGTATTACAAGTAAAACTTAAAATAAAAGTTGCCATTGATTTTTTAGGGTCTTGGAAGCATACCTTCCATTAATCAGCATTTAAAAATACCTCAAGACACCCTATACTACTGCAACATATATCATCCTTAACCTTAAGAAGGTTGCTATTTTTCTGGCAACAGGGTAATTAAGTCTTCTTTCTCAAATAGATTGAATGTCTTCACCAGACTGACATTGCAGTAAGTCTTCAGAAAAAAAGGGCTCAAAGAGGCATCAAATATATTCATTTTGTCTTGGAAAAGTGTCTGTTAAGTTGAAGTATGGAGCTTTGAAAACAATGAAGAAAAAAGCATGGCGAGTCAATGGCTTGCTGAAATAAATGCCTAGTCTTTTATTAGAAATTCCTGTGGAAAATAACCTTGCTTAAAACGTTTTTTTTCAGGCTGTGACCTATAGCCAGCACCCTTTACCTACTAGAATGAAAATGTTCAGAAGAATCTCCTGTGCCATTTCTATGCATGTTGATTTGTTACTCTCCCTGTATTACAAATTTATCCAAACCCAAATTTTTAAAAATGCCCAAAGCAGCTGCATGTTGGATTCTTGGTTTACATAGTTTTTCTTCTTAAAAAACACACTGATGGAACAGATGGGGAAAATGAGAAGGACTACAGGACAGAGGAAGGACTGCAGAACACAAATTGATCAGTGTGCTACCCATTTGCCAACCCATAGTTTGACTGGCAGTAATATAAAACTAGACAGAATTGTATGATCTTAATCAATATATAAGCTATCTATAACATTAGTCAAGTGGATAAGCAAGGTAATGATCACCTCTCCCCTACTTGCTTATTTTTTATTAGACAAACAATTAATGAAGGGATTTGGGGAACTCAGAAGACAAAAAGGACAATGAGAAAAAATATACAGAGTAAAGAAAAAGAAATAATAACTGTAAACCTGAAATAAAAAAAAAAAAACAAACAAACCAGAAATTACTTTCTGTGAGCAAGACTAACAAAGCAAAAACTTAACCTAGAAATTTCTTAGAATCTTCATGACTAGAAAGACTCAAGGGACTTACATATATGGCAGTTTTACATATTATTTTAACCTACTGTCTTCATTTTAAACAAAGGTCAAACCACAGACAATTTGCTTGGCTTCACTGATACGCTGTTGGCTGCAATTGCTGATGTTTACATAAGAATTAGGGGAGCTGAAGGAAATCCAAGGGATTTACCTTAAAAAAAAAACAAAAACAAACCACAAAAAATGTGAGACCTTCTTCTTATCTGCTGGAAGATAAGACTCCTGCTTTATCATGAATGAAATTAAACCTGAACTTAAAGAAGGACTGAGGAAGGAATTCACAAAATATATTTGTAAGGAAAAGAAACCCTACACTACCATGGTCAACTTCACAAGCTTCAGTCTTAGAATTAATGGGTAACGCACAATTAACATCTCAGAAAAACATGGGAATTTAATATTCCCCCATGTTTTACAGTAGAGTGAAGCATTTGGGTATTCCATGTAATAACTCAACTGCATATTAACATGTACATGCATGTACATATTCAAGAATGCTGTCGGCACTAATTATACTGAGATAATTTCTAAAGTGTATTTTTCATTTTCCAAATTCACACAGCAACTGGAACAATCTTATGCCAAAGTTACCTAAAAAGAGAAAACCAGATGGAAATTAAAAAAAAAGAGAAAATCAGGAAATAAACTGAATATATGAATTGATATATTAATGTAGTTGTAAATTTTTTGGTGTAAATACAGTCAGAAATCTTAAAACATCAAGCTCCATCCTACTAATCTCACCTTCATTGTCATTCCTATTTTCTTCTTTCCCAAAAATCTATAATAGACATAGTTCTATGTAAATTTAAGAAATAAATCTTATCAAACAAGTATATTATTTAATCACCTCATTCATCAGACAGAATATGGAAGAGGTTAATACTGTGAGAAGTGAATATCCCATGAATAACCAGTATTCCATGAAAAGCTCTCTATTCAGAGCTACATGGAAGCCAGTAATTGTGACAGCAGTTCAGTGACCACCACCAAATAACTGAAAAATGTCTTGACTAGAGAAGGCACAAAGCATCTGTTCATTAACATTGCCCCTCCAAAAATTATGAATCAAAGCTCCAAAAATTCTCATTAGCATAAAACTGTTAGTAGACATTATGTTATGAAATAAATCAGCATAGGTAAATCCTAGAATAAGGGAAAACAGGCTGAAGGGAAAGGAAAGAGGAAGGGAAGGAGCTGCTAAAGAAGGCAAAAGGAAAGGAGTGTAAGAGGATTAAGAACAAGTCATAAATTGTCTCTCATAAGCACAAAGGGTAGAAATGTACTTCAATTTCTTAAGAATGTACTTCCGTTTCATAAACCATGAGATTTATAAGCACTCAAATTTTCAAGCACTGGGTCCACAATAACAACTCCAGTAAAATACATGATAGCAGAGTAATCATAACACAGCAAACGGAGTATCTGTAACATGCATATAGTTTTATTCTGTTCATAAAAATTCCATGGTACTTTTCCCTATTTTTTTTTTCAGAAAAATTACAAAGGGTAAAACCTTAGCTGAAAAGAGATTTCTGACTTTTTATTTTCCTTTGCAGATACG